AGTAGCCCCAGGAGGACTGAAAAAGGAATTGTGAATTTCCAGGTAATTTCAAACCAGGAACAGGTGGGGTCTGAGGAAAGCGAAGATGGAAGAGGATTGGGGTGTTAACTGAGAACAGGTTAGCTGGCTGTTGGTAAAATGGTTAATTTCACATCCTTTTCCTTTGCCTCCATCCCCTCACCAGCCAAAACATCAGAGTGAATACAGCCCAGAGTGGGGCTGCTTGGGAGTGACTACTTGTTGCGTTCACGGGGATTCTTTCAAGATTGGACTCCGAGTTTGGAGTCTCATGAGGAGGGGGTCCTGCTGCACTGGGCTGTCACGGGGGCTGACCCCAGGGTCTGTGCTCATGCCTGGGGTGGAATGTAAAGGCTTGGTGGGAGCCATGAGTCACCAGCTTTTCACCCTGGACTTGGTCCAGCCAGGTCTACAGTTAAGCTCACACTGTGCCCTCTGGTGACTTATTGAGAGTGTGTTTGCCAAGCCCTTGGGCACATCCCCGGTTGGCAGGGAACAGGAAGGGAATGGGATACAGGAAGGAAGTGCTGGCCCCCAACATAGAGGGCTAGTTCCCACTTGTCAGGCAGAAGCAGCAGGGTCTGACCTCCGCCTCCAGGGCCTGCGGGCCTTGCTCCAAGCTCCAGTCTCATTCCTCGGAGGTGGTCCTGCCCGCCTGTGATTCCCACAGTTCTAGACAGCTGGCAGTTTCCTTTCTCTGTGCCTCAGAGGGATAATGATAACACCATCCAGACTGCAGGATTCCAGAGAGTTAATCCTCAGAAAGCGCTTAGAACTGTGCCTGGTACTTGTGAAGCTATCAATAAGTAACTTGTTTTCCCCTAAACCTTGGCACCCATACTTGGTCTCCTAATGCTGCCGAAAGCAACTACCACACATTTGGTGGCTTAAAACTACACAGATTTATTCTTTTGCAAGTCTCAAGGGTCAGGAGTGCTGCATTCCTCCTGGAAGCTCTAGGGAAGATGACCTGTTCCCTTGCCTTTTCCGGCTTCTAGAGGCCCCAGCATTCCTTGGCTCATGGTCCCATCCTTTGTCCTCAAAGCCAGTAGTGCTGCATCTTTCAGTTNAAGTCTCAAGGGTCAGGAGTGCTGCATTCCTCCTGGAAGCTCTAGGGAAGATGACCTGTTCCCTTGCCTTTTCCGGCTTCTAGAGGCCCCAGCATTCCTTGGCTCATGGTCCCATCCTTTGTCCTCAAAGCCAGTAGTGCTGCATCTTTCAGTTTCTCACTGAATCTCTCCCTGTCCCCGCCCCCATCCCCCCTCTCTCTCCTTCTGTGAGCCAGTCGCCTTTTCTCTGACCCTGACCCTCTTGTCTCCTGCTCATAGGTCTCTTGCATGCATGCTGTGCTGTGCTAAGTTGCTTCAGTCATGTCCAACTCTTTGCAACCCTGTGGACTGTAACCCACCAGGCTCCTCTGTCCTTGGGATTCTCCAGGCAAGAATACTGGAATGGGTTGCCATGCCCTCTTCCAGGGGATCTTCCCGACCCAGGGATCTCACTCGAGTCTCCTGTGGCTCCTGCCTTGCAGGCAGGTTCTTCACCACTGAGCCACAAAAGGGAAGCCCCAAAAGGTCTCTTACCTGGGCTTTATCTGATAATCCCAGGATAACCTCCCCACCTAAAAATCCTTGTCACATTTGCAAATTCCCTTTTGCTACTAAGGTGACGTAGTCGCAGGTTTTGTGGCTGAGAACGTGGACATCTTTGGCAGGATGTCCAATTGCAAGATCAGGTTTTATTTCAGAGACTCTGGGAGAGACTGCCTCCAGCCAAATTGCTAACTGGTTTGCTGATAGCAGGTCAAGGGTTAAGTTCCTCACCTGGGGAAAGGGTAGCGAGGCCTGTGAGAACTTGCTGGGCAGCCAGGCAGCAGGGAAGAAACAGCTCTCATGGGACCTAGAAGATTTCTGATAGCTTCAGAATTATGAAGCTTAGCATAGCTTCATCTTATGCTAAGGGTGTGTGCTTGAATGCCCAAAGAGGGAGCTGTTTGAGATTCTAGGTAAGCATCTGAAGCTTGACAAAGGAACACAAGAGTGAGGGAATCATCAGAGCAGGAGATGAGCCCTGAATTTGGTGTTCGAGGACCTGGGAGAAGAAGGGAGTCCCAGCTCTGCCACTTTCTGGCTATGTGAATCTGGACTGGTCCCCTCCCTCTTTTTAAGTCTTATTTGTTTGTTTCCATTTGTATCATGGAAAAACATAGTACCCACTTCGGAGAGGTATTTGAGAGGGCAATGAAGCTGAATGAGAGAGTGGAAAGAACTTACAAGGCTTAATAAGTGTCAGGTGCCCACATGTCAGGAGCATCACGTGGTGCTGGGCTTTGTGGGGGGAGGGGGCGGGGTACAGAGGAGCAAGAAACAGGTGCTTCAGAGGCCCTGCAAAATCACCGGGCAGGTAACAAGATCAGGCACGTGTCAGGGGCAGTGGACTCCCTCCTTGGGAGCCGAAGCTGCAGGGCCAGGGCCTTCAGCTGTACCTTCAGGAGAGAAGTGCTCACACGGGAGAAGGCATTCTAGGCAGCAGGATCGGCTAGAACCAAAGTCTGGAGGCTGGAGCACTCTGGCCTGTTGGGAAGGCAGACGGCTGTTGGAGAGATCGGAAGGGTGGGGAGAGGTGCTGGGAGCCTTCGCAGGTGTTTAAGGAAAGAAGAAGCTGGACCCCATGACACTTTATAGCCATATTGATGTTTACTCGGCTTTTGTTTTTGTTTGTTTGCTTTATTTTTGGCTGTGCTGGGTTTTCGTTGTGGTAAGCAGGGGCTACTCTCTAGGTGTGGTGTGTGCTTCTCATTGCAGCGGCTTCTCTGTTGCAGACCACAGGCTCTGGGTCAAGCGGGCTTCAGCAGTTGGGGCACACAGGCTCAGTAGCTGTGGGCTGAGTTGCTCCATGGCATGTGGAATCTTCCTGGACCAGGAATCGAACCTCCGTCCTCTGCATTGGCAGGCGGATTCTTACGCACTGTACCACCAGGGAAGTCCTTGGCTTTGGTTTTGACATGTTTCTTTCCCACTAGCTTATAAGCCACATGAAAGTACGGGCTATTGAATGCTCGTTTCCCTTTATCTACAGGATAGGTGGGCGTGTATCGAATGAATAAATAAACGAGCAAAGAACCTACTCGAATTCCCTAGTAATCACTTTTTGCAGTATTAAGTCTTTGACAAGCAGCAGGTGTAGGCTGGCGTTCTGGGAAGACTGATCTGACTCTGAGTGCAGTGGAGGCAGGAGAGAGAAGCGGAAGGCAGTCTGAATCCAGTGGGGAGTAGGTTGCTGTGGGCCTCAATTACAGCAGCGGAGAGGGTGGAACAGAGGAAGGAATCCTTGTAAGAGATGAGCTAGAATACTTTGAAGGGACTGGGGACTCAGTGTGGCAGAGGAGAGGGAGAGAAGAGGCTAGGAGTGACTTGGGGATCTTAGATGACAAGAATTATGTCTTTTCACTCAGGAAGCGTGTTCAAGCATTTTCTCTGCACCAGGCACTGTTGGTGGCACTTAATACTGCAAAAAGTGATTACTGGGGAATTTGCGTAGATTCTTCACTCATTTATTTATTCATTCAACACATGCCCACCTATCCTGTAGATATAACGGGAAACATTGGCTAGTTGGTGGCCATTCAAGGCTAAATGGGGTATGATCTCTGCCATAGAGGAGAAAGAATTCTGGAGCAGGGAGGAGGCCTGTTGGGGTCAGGAGATGCTTGGGGCGGGGTGGGTATAAGGGTTAAGGTTGAGGGCCCACAGCCAGCACCTTCCACTGTGGGATTGAGCTCCTGGGGGCAGGAAGATACAGTCAGAGGTGTAGCCAGAAGGCTGCTTGGCTGAGAGTTCCATGGCCACTTCCATCGGGTCATCTCTGACCCTACTTCTCCTCTCTGTTCATACATGTCTTCCACCAAAAACCTCCTCTGGCCCCTGCCATGCCCTCCAGGTGACCACGCCCATCTCAGTCATGACCCTCATTTCCCTTAACTGTCTCTTTCCCCTCCTCCATTAAATTGCTCCCACACAGGTTCTTTTTTTTACCTCGCTCACTATTATAAGGGTGAAAGTATGTAAGTCGCTCAGTTGTGTCTGACTGTTTGTAACCCCATGGATTGTAGCCCACCAAGCTCCTCTGTCTGTGAAATTCTTCAGGCAAGAATACTAGAGTGGGTAGCCATTCCCTTCTCTAGGGGATCTTCCCAACCCAGGGGTTGAACTCAGGTCTCCCGCATTGCAGACAGATTCTTTACCATCTTAGCCACGAGAGAAGCCATTATAAGGGTGCTGTGCTGGAGAAGGAAATGGCAACCCACTCCAGTAATCTTGCCTGGAAAACCCCATGGACAGAGGAGCCTGGCAGGCTACAGTCTGTGGGATCACAAGAGTCAGACACGACTTAGCGACTAAACCATCCACCACTACAAAGTGAATATATGCCTAAAGATAATGTGTGAAAAGGATATTTGCCATATACTAGCTAGTTTTTCGGTGGGAGGGTGGGAGTCAAGGAAGACTTGGGGTTATTTTTTCATCAACTTCCATTTTATACTTATTTATAATGGCCATTATTTTTACTAATACTGTAAAACTATGAAAATGAATAAAATACTAAAAGTTTCATATAAAAAAATTTTTTTAAAAAGGGGTGCTGTGCTAAGTTACTCCAGTCGTGTCCAACACTGTGTGATCCTATGGACTGTAACCTGCTAGGCTCCTCTGTCAGTTGTGGGTTTGAGCTCCCGGAAGCAGGAAGATATAAGGGTAGATGGGTATCAGATAAGGAAGCATGGGGGAAGAAATGGATGGAAGAGAAATTAAGCAAGATGTGAGCAGTACGAGTATGGATGATTTTTTTTTTCCTTTTATGTTTCTGTGTTTTCCAAATTTTCTATAATAAGTATTTGGCTTTTGTCCCCTTGCAAAAATGTTAAAGAAGAAGGGAAAAAAAGCAAGAAAACAGGCTGCTCAGATTCTGATCTGCTTTTACAGGTGGAAGCAGGGAAGGGCCTGGAGATGAGGAAGCTGGTTCTCTCGGGGTTTCTGGCCAGCGAAGAGATCTATATTAACCAGCTGGAAGCTCTGTTGTTGGTAAGTATGTAGTTTGGGGTCTTTGTGCCCTGAGACTGTGTTTGGAATTGGAGAGAGAGGTGGACCAGTCCTTCCCAGGGCCAGGGTCTGTGGACTGCTCTGCCTACGGCTTGGCAGCCAAGGTCATTGCCAGAGAGGCCCGTGCCTCTTGGCCCCGAGTCTCCATTACTTACCCTGGGAAAGGTAGGAGGAGAAGCACCACCTGGCTAGGGGTGACAAACACGCCATCACCCCTAACGACAGTGCAGACATTACTAATGGATCACAGTGCTCTGTCCAGGTGGGACCTTAGCCTCCGCCTCCAGCTGATGCTGTGGGCAGTCTCTACCAATCAATCACGTTGAGGCCTCTTTGTCATCCCTGGTCCCAGTCCTTCCTCCTCCCTGGAATACTGAACTATTAGCACCATCCTGAGGCCTTCTGGCGGGAAATGAGGTGGCAGGCTGTCTGTGTCATTCTCAGAAGCACCATAGCTCTGAGGCATTAGACAGACCGCCACCCTCTGTGAATGTGCCTTAGTTTCTTCTCCAAGCTGGAGGCGTTGTGAGAATCGGACTGGGAGGGGAATAATACAGTGTTTTCAAAAGGTAGAAGTAACCACAGATGTAAGATGTTTTTGCCTCTGAAGAAAGTGCGTATTAGATGTGTCTGGATATTATGCAGAGTGATTGTGCGTGGAAAGTTCTCTTCCCGGGGTGTTTTGCAGACTGAGACATCAGATGATATCAGAACAAGGAGGAATAAGAAATGAAGATGTAGATCAGTAGAAAGAGTACTGTAAGATCTGCATTTATGTACTTGCTGAGATGTGAGCTGTTGTCACCAGGTATCCCAGGGGGCTTACCATTTGTTACCCCAGGAGTAACTGCTGAGGTGTGTCGCTGCTTTGTAACACAGGGGAATGAGTTGGTGGTCGATCTTACTGGGAATCTGTTGGTCTTCACAGTTATTTCTTCAAGGGAGGAACAGTTTGGCAGGTCGATAAGGACTCTGGTCTGGGGCCAGAGCTGAGGCAAGACTTGACGCTGCCATGAATAGTAGACTTACTGCCCTGCCTTTCTAACTACGAGTCATGATTGGTAGTGGATTGCTCAATCAGCGAAGTGGGGTGAACCAGCATTTTAAAACGAATGAGAAAGTAAATGTCGGCATGCATCCCATGTAGTAAGAATAAGTACTGTTTCAGGCAGCTTTTGGTTTGTGTGGATATGTGTATGTATATTGGAGAAGGCAATGGCAACCCACTCCAGTACTCTTGCCTGGGAAGTCCCATGGACAGAGGAGTCTGGTAGGCTGCAGCCCATGGTGTCTCGAAGAGTCGTTTTTTACAAAGGGGCATGGCTGTCATTACTATGAGTAAAAGGGTGCATATTTGAAAGAGGTTCAGAGGAATGGTTTGGAATCCCCACCTGACTGCCTGCCAGCTCTAGACCTTCAGCAGATTAATGGACCTTTGTGCCTCATTCTGCCCATCTGCAAACTGGTTATATTCATATCCATCCTCTCTTCTTGGGGTCATTGTGAGGGGCGAGTGAGTCTGTAGGGGAAGCTCTTTGAGCCCAAGTGAGAGCATATTCTATTATTTTCTCCCATTCTGGGAGAGAGCTCAGGTTAGAACCTGTTTGTTTTTGTCCACACACCCGTTGCCTGAAGGAAGGGGAGGTGCATGTTCCTGTCGGAAGTGGGCCCCTCTTAGACTCCAGCTCTTAGACTCCAGCTAGGTTCTCATCTGTCATTGGGCCTGATTTGAGTTCCATTTGTCTGGGTGAAGATAACAGATTTAGGGGCCAAGACACTCCCTCCCGGCTCGCCTTTCTAACAGCTCATGCTCTCAAGACAAAATCTGTGAGGCTGGGGCTCCCACTCCCAGGGTGTGACCCAGGGTAGGTCCCTCCACTTACCCCCCAGCTTCTTCATCCGGGGTTGGCTCTTTCTTGAGCCGAGGCAAGGGCGAGGGAGGGACGAGCTAGGCGGCCTGGGCTATGACTGATGGGGCCCCCCCATAGCACAAGTCTCAGCTGATAAGCCTCAGTTTTAAAGACTCAAGCCCTCCTCTCTCTCCTAGAGCTGGGGCCCTTCCAGGTGCTAAGCCCTTGGCTCTTGAGAGGTGATCTGACAAAGGGGCTTGGAGAAAAAAACCTGCCTTCCCCAGCTCCCTCCTCCTCCCAGCCCAGCCCAGCGCTCCTTCTCCCCACCCCGCCCCCAGTTCCCACAGCTCCACTGCTCTGTGTGTTTGTTCTCGGTTTAACACTTCCTGCTATGCAAACGGCTGGGTGTGTACACCCAGGACTGGGGACACACAGCAGGAGCCTCTGTTCCCGCCGCCTGGGTTGCTGGCTGGGCATGGTTTGGTAACCTTCCAGGACCTTCCAGGTTCCTGGTGGGCTCAGGTTACAAGGAAGAGGGTCTGGGAGCCTGGGCTGAGGCGGAAGAAGGAAGGCAGGCAGACCAACTGCTCATCATGTTGCGTGTCTCCAGGCTGGTTAGTGAGCTGGGTGCTGCGGGGGAGCTTCCTGGGCCTTCAGCATCTCCCACCGCTGGGCCTCTCTCCCAGACTCCCCTCTGGAGTTTGCTTTGTCTCTTATCTGTGAAATAGGTTCAGGATGCCCCCCGCCCCCCAACCTCCTGCCTTCGGTGACGGTTAGCAAAGTTGCATGAGGCAGGCTCCAAGCCTTTTGGAATCAGGTGGAGGAAGTGGGCTGATTTCTCTCCCCTGTTTCGAAAGGCAGGAGGCAGGTTTGCTGGGGGACAGAGCGAACAAATGACAGAGTGAAGTCATGAACAAGTTCAGGCCCGCCTGGCCTGCCTCCCTGAGGAGGCCTTCATGGGACACCCGGTTTATGTCTGTTTCTGTGCATGCATGCTGAGTTGTGTCTGACTCTTAGCGACCCCGTGGACTGTAGCCCGCCACACTCTTCTGTCCGTGGAATTTTCCAGGCAAGAATACTGGAGTGGATTGCCTTTTCCTTCTCCAGGACACCCAGAGCCAGAGTTAACTGATCAGATAGGGAGCCAGCACCCCATCAGTCCTCTGTTGCAGGATCCTAGAGGCAGGGCTAACTGGGTGTGCTCCGTCAGGAGAGCAGGACTGGAGCCCAGCTCAGTCTGGGGCCGCCTGTGCCTTTCAGTCGGCCCTCCCCGCCCGAGGCCTATTTTCAGAGCTTCACCAGATAAAAATAACTGCCTCCAAGGGTCTCAGGCCAGCCAGGGGCATGCATGCAGCACTTCCCCTCCCCCAAAGGCCCCCAACCTTGTCCTGAGAAGCTGGCGGCCTGATGCCCCAAGAGCCGGCCCTGTCCATGTGACCCGCCCTGCTGAGCGCCGGCTCTTCCCCTTTTGCAGACGGAGTGGGAGTTAAGGAGGAAGCAGAGCGGTTGTGTCTTGTCTCTTCATAGCCCTGAGCGCTTCCCCCGCAGTTTCTGAGAAATCCTGACCATCCCCTGCCTTCCCAGGGCTGTTCTCTCCTGTTTCCTTTATTCCCACCCTGGGTGGGGATTACACCCCAGCAGGTACAGGGACTGTACCTGTCACACTGGTGACTTGGCCCCACCCCTGGACCTGGGTTATGGTTGTTGTTCAGTCGCTCAGTCCTGTTTGATTCTTGTGACTCCATGGGGACTGCAGCACACCAGGCTTCCCTGTCCTTCACCATCTCCCGAGNCCCCAAAATAAAATCTGTCACTATTTTCATTGTTACCCCATCTATTTGCCATGAAGTGATGGGACTGGATGCCATGATCTTAGTATTTTGAATGTTGAGTTTTTTTCTCCTCTTTCACCTTCATCCAGAGGCTCCTTAGTTCCTCTTTGCTTTCTGCCATTAAGAGTGGTGTCACCAGCATGGGTAGATAGAGGTAAAAAAGGATAAAGTCTGGGACTTCCCTGGGGGTCCTGTGGTTAAGACTTCACCTTCCAGTTCAGGTGGTGGGGGTTCTGTCCCTCGTCTGGGAGCTAAGATCCCATATGCATGGGGTCACAAAGCCAAAAACATAAAACAGAAGTATTGTTTTAACAAATGCAATAAAAACTTTAAAAATGGTCCACATCAAAAAAATCTTAAGGATAAACTCTGACCAATCCCGAGAGCCAGCTCTGTATCCTTCACAGAGCACTGGGGCCATGAGCTGGATGGGGCGCCTGTCTGCGGTAGGAAGAATGCTCTTCCTTTTTCATGGCCCAGATTCCCTCTGTATCCTTCCTGCCTGCAGGCTTCCCCAGGCCCCACTTCTCCACCTGCTCAGAGCTTCCCTCCGAGGCCCTGTTCCCATCACCTCCTCTATGAAGCCCCCTCCAAGCTGGGCCAGGACAGCCTTGGCACCAGTTGGTTGGTATTTGCAGTCCAAGTTGAGTAATAACCGTATCTTGCTTTGTCCACAAGAACGTTTCATTTGTGTTGGTCCACCTTACCTTAATAGATTATAACGTTCTGCAGAACAAGGACTGTGAGTCATACAAATAATCTCCAAAGGGAAAATTGGACCCTGTCAATCCCTTCAGGGAAAGCCAGGTCATTTCACGGGCTTTTTAGCTGCATTCCTTCCCCGTGTGATCCATGCCTTGCTCACCCCTCCGGCCCTGCTTTAGGGCTCTGCTTGCCAACCCCCTCGCTCGCTGCACACAGGGTCACCAGCCTGCTTCCAGCTCCTCCCTCTTCCCAAGCTATTCCTGCCTCAGTCTCAGGCATTGAGGAAATCTGCCTAGAATATTGTCCCCTTTGCCCCTGTGCTTCCAATTCAAGTCAGCATCCCCTCCTTGTCCTTCAGCACGATGCCCCTTCTTATTTCCTTCCCTGAATTTATGTGCAATCTTGTGTTTGATTGTTTCCTTGTGTTTTGTCTGTCTCTGCTTCTCCATGGGAGGCTTCATGGGGGCAGTGACTAGTGAAGCACTGAATACCCTTCCATACACCCCCGGTCTGGCCTCATGTAGGCACTTGGTCCATTATTTGTGGGGTGAATAGTAATCATAGTAGCAGCTAGCATTTATTGATTGCCTCCTGTGTGCCAGGCATATGCTCAATATTTTATATAAATTATGGCTTATGGCTTTGATAATATTATCCCAGTTTCACAAATAAGGCTGCTGAGGCCCAGAGATGCTAAGTGACTTGCCCAGAGCTATCAAGTGGCAGAGCTGGGACTCTGGCCCACACTGTCTGGCCTGCACCAAGTCAAACCCCAGCCAGCGTTCCCAGCAAAGGGCTGGACATGAAGGCCTTGTTGGTTGTAGCACTAGAAGGGTCAGAAGGAGGACTTCTGCTTTTTCCTGCCTTCATCCTTCTGTCTGGACTTTTTAGAACTGGGAGGACAGGGAACCAGAAGTCAGAGCGTTGTCTGGGTTTTTAAGTAGACAGGACTTCCTCATGTGGACAGATAGATGGGAAGTACATGGAAGCCTGGCTTGGGCATCTGGCTGCTGCGGCTGGCTCGAGCTGGGGTTTGGGGAGCAGGTGTCTTCTCTCAGGGTGAGCCAGCAATAACTCGGGCCTCCCTCCAGTGGAGGTGTTCCCTGAATCCAGCCTTGAGTTGCCCGTCCTCTGCTTGAATGCTTCTCTTATCAGAAAGCTCACTACCTAATCCTGTGAGATCATGGAGGGTGGCTTTGTGAGCCCATAGTTGCTCTTACAACTTCTCCTTTCTGCTCCTGGGTCTCCAGAATTACCCAGATTAAGTCAAAAGCCTCTCTCCACACAGCCCTTTATCTACAGGGTAGAGGAAGAACACCCCCCATGTCTGACTCAGGCTTCCTTCTCCCAGGTAAACCTTCCGCCCCTGCAAACCCTCCCGCCTTGTGCCTTCTCTGTGGGAAAGGTTTCCAGGCCCTGTCCCCCAGGGTGGACAGTCTGGGCATCTCTGGGGACTTTAAGGGCTGAACAAAGATCAACCATGGAGGAGCTCCTTACCCTTCAGTATCGCTTTTTGTTTGTTTCAGCTATGCATTTTAATACCTATTTTTCCCTGATTCAGTTCAGTTCAGTCACTCAATCGTGTCCGACTCTTTGCAACCCCATGAACCACAGCAGACCAGGCCTCCCTGTCCATCACCAACTCCCGGAGTTCACTCAAACTCATGCCCATCGAGTCGGTGATGCCATCCAGCCATCTCATCCTCTGTCGTCCGTTTCTCTCCTGCCCCCAATCCCTCNCCAATGCAAGGGGCATGAGTTTGATCCCTGATCGGGGAACTGAGATCCCACATGCCTCATGGCACAGCTAAAAAAAAATAAAACAAAAATACAGAAACATACTGAAGAAAATATATCCAAGCCTCATTTTCTTTTAATGCTGGGCTTTAAAATGATGATTTCAGCTCTCGGCAAGTATTGGGAATGGTCTTGAGTTTCTGTCTGTCACGTCACCCTCTCCACCAGCAGGCCTGGGAGCATTTTGGTGTAGACAGTCAGAGATGACAGATGGTCTTGCATGTCAGCCTTGGCATTGAGAATGGGTCTGAGGCTTCAACCAGGCTCAATGAGGAAGATGGTTGTGATCGCTTAGTAATGTCTGCCACAGGTCCAGGAGGTGGGACAGTGGTTTGGGTGCCACCTGCTCATCCTCTGTATACTGAGTGATGGGAACTTAAGATGTCAATGCAGCTGAAATTGGTTTGGTCCCTTAAAACCTCTGTCCCCCCAAGTCCTAGAATCATGTTCTGTTTCTTGAAAAGAAACAGCTAAGGGATTGAGTTCTCAGTCAACCCTCCTTCCCACTGAAGCACAGCCAGGGGATTTATGACTCTGAGCATGAAGCCATTGTGGAAGAAAGCTTTGGATACTGTTTGACCCTCAAGCAAACCCACGACAGGCTGGAAACCTGGCCCCCCTCAAGGGACAAGGGGTGGGAGAAGTGTGTCTGGGCACTACCCCTTGGGCCTGGCAGAGCTGCTGAGCCAGGTTCTGGCCATCAGGTGCCCTCTGCTTGCAGTCACACGTGGCTTGCTGGGGCCTGTGACAGCACCTGCTAGATCCAAACTGAACTTCAGGTGCCCAGCCCTCAGTGACCTTGTCTGGGCAGAACTCAGGCAGCAGAAAGGCCTAACCTGGGTCCTGAGCCTGCTGACCTTCGGGTTTACTTGCCTCTCACCTCTGCTCTTTCTCCCTTCTCTCTCCCAGCCCATGAAACCTCTGAAGGCCACTGCCACCACCTCCCAGCCTGTACTCACCATCCAGCAGATCGAGACCATCTTCTACAAGATCCAGGACATTTATGAGATCCACAAGGAGTTCTATGACAACCTCTGCCCCAAGGTGCAACAATGGGACAGCCAGGTCACCATGGGCCACCTCTTCCAAAAGCTGGTGAGTCTCCCATTGATGGAAGGTGCTTACGTGGGGCCTCAGTGGAGCCGCTGGTGTTGTGAGAGAACTGATCGGCCCCAGACCTCCTTGGCCTTCTTGAAGGCCTGGGTCATTCTGAGTCCTGGAGAAAAACATGGACTTCTGCCTTGTGGAGAACCTGCCTCGTGCCTGGACTCCCAGGCTGCCAGAGACAGGCCATGTGCATGGGTGCCCCTGGCAGAGGGCTCCAGGGCTGGACCAAAGACTCCCCTGCGGGCCTCCGCTGATGGAGGGGCAAGTGCCGGGTGGATGGGCAGGCATCTCTCCCCTGAGACCTCAGATGTTCTCACTTCCATGCTGCCTCTGAAGTGAAGAGTTGGGGTGGAGGGAGACAGTGTTGGCTAACGATCCTCAGCTGAGGACCCTGGACAGAAAGCAGTAAGAGCCCAGCCCGCCCACCATGGCAGGGCAGGGAGAAGGAAGGAGGAGGTAGAAGTATCATGTGGCGCTGGTGTCGGGAAAGGCTGGCTGAGGTCAGGGTCATCTAGCTCCCGGGGCTTCCATGACACTGTCTGCTCCAGCTCAGTGTCTGTCTCTGGCCATGTCCCCCGAGGACCCCCCAAGCAGACCCCTGGGCCGCCCATAACTTTCACCAGCCCAGCAGGCAGGATGGAGCACAGGAGTTGTGGTCCTGTCCTCTGGGTGTAAGTGGTGGGGGGCGGGGAGCAGGAGCAGGGGTGGGACCTCTCTGCAGGGATGGGACCCGTTGAATGGACAGGCCTCTGCTCTTCTTACCCAGAGAAGACTCTTGCTTGGATGCTCTGGGGCCACAAGCTCAGTATGCTCAAAACTGAACTCATTGGCTCTGAGGTTCTTTGCTGTCTTCCCTGTCTCTGTCCTCTGTCTCAGTGGGTATGGCCACATCCCGTGGATGGATATCCGTGACTCCTTAGGATTCATCCTTGGCACCTCCCCTCCCTGCATCCCTTGGAGTCCACTTCTTTAATGCTCACAGCCACCTGCTTCTCTCCACCCTCTGGTGCCCTCATCTGGACCACTGCTGTGGCCTCAGGAGTGGCTTCTGCCCCAGGCCTGCCTCTACCTAGCAACAGGAGAATGTTTTCTAAACTCCTGCCTGGACCTCACTTCCTCCCTGCTCACATCCCTTCAGGGGGCTCCCCCTTACCCACTGAATAAAGACCAGCCTGCGGTCTGGTTTCTGAGACCCTCTGCGTGCTGGCCTCAGTCCACCCCGGCCTCTGGCTATTGCCTCCCACACCCCGACCCTGAAACTCCTGGTCTCTCAGCTCACACTGCAGACACGCTTGACCTCCCTGTACTTGCGGCTCTAGCCTCAGATGTCCTTCTCTGTCTTGTCTGGCATCTCTGGTCAGTTTCCAGTTTAGAAGTGACCTCATGGAGAGCCCTTCTGCAGCCCTTTGAATGCGGCCACTGTGCTTATACCCTCCATGAACACTAAACTGCCTGACTCCCCAGAATATGCTCCAGGAGGACAGACTGTGTTTTCTTCAATTTGGACTCTCAGAACCAGTCTAGAACTCAATACGTGAGTGAGTGAGTGAGTGAATGAATGAGTGAACAAATGAGCCAGTGAATGAATGGGTGAATTTAGTACACCTTGTTTTTGGCCCCTGGGACCAGGTAGAAGTTGGAAGGGCATTGAGGAGACGCCACAGGACCTGAGGCCCATGTCCTGAGGGACATACAGAGATAAACACAGTTTTAGATCCAGGTCAAAGCTGAGTGGGAATCCAGGCTCTGCCACACGTTAGATGTTAACGTGTGACATTGGGCAACTTACCCAGTTTCTCCTGACTCAGCTTCCTCATCTGTAAAAATGAGGATAATAATAGTGTTTACCTTGTTGGATTGTGAGGACTGAGTGAGTTAATACCTGGAAAGTTCTTGGCACAGGACCTGGAGTATAGTAAATTGGGAAATACTCAGTAGTTAGTCATTATCATTACCATTATTACTATTATTACTGCTGTTATTACTATTGTTAGGAAGAGGCACCCGCAAAAGGCATTCTTGCCACGGACACACTTCCGGTTCTGGCAGCCCCAGAGTACTGGCCCCAGTTCAGGGATGATGAACACCCAGTCATCACCGCCCACCTGGTCCAGGAGCCTGTGCTGTCTGGCTTGAGGGGGAGCCTCTCCTAGCCCTCAGGAGGGCAGAAGAGAGCAGACCCAGAGTGGGGTGGAGGAGTGAGGAGCCAGGAGCCCAGTGGAATGCCTGCCCGATTTATCTTTGTCACTTGGACCCTGCCATCACCAGGGTTCCCCCTTCTGGTTTGAGCTCTACTAGCTTGGCCATGAATTTGCTACCCCGGCCCCCAACCCCCACTTCTCTTCCCCTGCCTCAAGAACTGATGTCTGAAGCCCCTGAGGCTACAGGCTTGGGAGAAGGCCGGGGCAGGCCAGGCATCTGGAGGCAGTTTCTTTCCAGCTGGTCTCTGGGTATTTGATTATCCATTACCAAGAGCGGGGAATTAGCATCTCTGTTATTTGTTTTATGAGATCACCCCCGTGCCAAGCTGCTGTTTCCAAAGCAACCCCCACTTCCCAGGGATGGCCCAGGCAGGCCAGGCATCGGGCCCGGCAGACTCGGGTGCTCCATGGAGACGGCGGTGCCTGGATGGCTGGTGACCCCTGCACACAGGCCTTCTGCCCAGGGGGCTCCTGCTTGCAGCTTGTTTCCAGCTACTCCCTTGGCAGTGGGATAGGAAGGTAGCATTCCACCCTGAGCACCCAGCCTTTATCCCTCTCATGGAAAGGTGGACAAGGAAGATATGTACCTGGAAGGATGTCAGTAATCCCTGGTTTAGGAAGCAACCGTCTAGCACAACCCCTGTAGCCTAGGACACTAGGGACCAGGACACTCCCTGGAAGAGGAAACAAACTCCATCCCTTCCTGCCCCTGCCCATTTCTGAAGTCTGGCCCATCTGGGGCTGAGACCTGCACGGCTTTGGCCCTGGCTTCTTAAGCATCTCGGGTCTCACTTTTTCCTCTGGCTTTCCTGGGTCCCACCTGCCAGCTTCCTTGAGCTGTCTCTGCCCTGGAGGGCTCCAGGTCCCCTGGCCCACCTCTTTGGGTCCTTGAGGAGTGCAGGTATTCTGTAGAAAGCAGAGTGTGTCTGGGCAGGGCTCAGAGGCAGCACACTTCCTCCCCTACCCACCCCCATCCCCTCACCTTGGTGGGTAGAAGGCCCCAGCAGCTGAATCTCCTTGCTACTTCATTGAAAAACAACTTAACCAGAAAATCTAGAGAATAATGTAGGAAACAACAATACACTCACCTCCCAGAATTAATAGACATTAAACTTTCGTAGTAGTAGTGTTAGTCACTCAGTCGTGTCCGACTCTTTGCGACCATGGACTGTAGCTCACCAGGCTCCTCTGTCCATGGAATTCTCCAGGCAAGAATATGGGAGTGGGTTGTCATTCCCTCCTCTAGGGGATCTTCCTGACCCAGGGATGGAACATGGGTCTCCTGCATTGCAGGCAGATTCTTTACGGTTTGAGCTACAGCAAATCTCTGAAGATATAGGGAAAGACTTTTTAATCAAGAAGCTAAAGCATTACAAATAAGGATGAAGTTAGTCTCTCTCTCTCTCTGCCACCCTTTCCTCTTGCCCTTCCTCTCATTTGAATGAATTTGGTGTGTAGTCTTTTAGGCTGCAGTTTGTGGTTTTTGCTACACATCTGTATCTTCTTAAAGCATTGCATTTACTTTTAGAGTGTAGAGAAATATGTATATATGTATCATATTTTGCCATTCAATCAGCATTCATTTTGAAACTTGTCATCGTTGCTACACAGAGATCTAGTTCATTCATTTTTTAACTGCACAGTGTGTATGGGTTCCTTTCTTTGTGAGCATTTGTTTGCAGTCTTTTCACAAAAGAAAAAATGAAGTGAGTAAAATACCCTTGTTTACATTTCCTTGTGCACACACACATGCAAGTTTCTCTAGAGCAGTGCTTTCTAGTAAAAATAATAGTGTGAGCCACATATATAATGTAAATTTTCTAGCAGCAGCCACACTCAGTAGAAATAAACAGGTGAAATTAATGTGAAGAATATATTCTATTTAGCTTAGTAGAGTCAAAATATTATCATTTCAACATGCAGTCAAGATTAAGGAATTAGATAATTTACATTCTCTTTTGCATACGAAGCCTGTGAAACCCAGAATGTGTTTTACACTCACAGCCCACCTCCATTTGGACTAGACACATTTTAGGTGCTCAGTATCCATGTGTAGGGCTTCTCTGGTGGCTTAGGTGGTAAAGAATCTTCCTGCAATGCAGGAGACCCGGGTTCAATCCCTGGGTTGGGAAGATCCTCTAGAGAAGGGAATGGCTACCCACTCCAGTATTCTTGCTTGGGAAATTCCATGGACAGAGGAGCCTGGCAGGCTACAGTCCATGGGGTTGCAAAGAGTCAGACATGACTAAATGACTAACACTGACTGACAGATTCACGTCCTGCAAGTGGCTCCCGTATTGGACAGCATAGCCCTGGGGTCTGTATGTAGAAGAGGCTTTGCTCAGTAGTAGGCTGAACTGTACGTATTTTCAACTGTATTAGTTATTGACAAATTACTCTCCAAATAATTATACCAATTTACACCACCCACGGGCAGTCTTTAGAAGTTCCTGTTTTCCTACATTCTTTCTGACTCTTAATATCATGAGACTTAAATTTTGACCAGACTGATGGGTATGAAATAGTATCTCCTTGTGGTTCAATTTGAATTTCCACCCTTTGCTCCTCTAAGAGGAAACACACATGCACAACACAGAAGGCTCTCCATAAATACATCTGCAGAATTGAATTAATGAAACTCGGTTTCCCCTTTTGCAGTAAGGGCTGATGGCATCTGTTCTGCCTCCCCGAGAAGGCGAGGCTCTGTGTCCTAAGCCGGGAAAAGCATTGTGTTAGGTGCAGAGTGACATGGCAGATGTGTAGAGAAGAAGGACCTCTGGCTCCTTGAAGGCTGAGGAGGTGGGGACAGGGACCTGGAGGTCAGGGAAGTGGGGAATGTGCCTTTAAATGCAATTCCCCACTCTCAGCAGGGGGAGTGGAGTACGGAGCAGGCCACACGTGTCCACCCCCCTCCCTGTTTCCCCTGCTTCAGCTAATTCCAGGATGTGAAAGACGTGTGAGGCATTAAGGGGCTTCAAACTGTGCAAGACTTTGATGATGCTAAATAAAGCCAAATGCTGCTATGAGCTGAGTTTTAGCAAGCCAACAAAGGCCCTGCCCTGCTCCCCCCAACCCCCCAAACCCCCCTGTCAACCTTATTGGCTGAGCCAGTTTCCATGGAAACTGTGGAGTTCAAAGGGATACTGTAGTATGTTCATCCTGCCTTTTCTCTCTGCTCCCAGCTAGCCATTTGGACTGAGTTAGAGGTTCTGAGTGCTAAGGGAGCTCCAGGTTCTCTGGTTATGCTTTCATCCATTCATTAATCCTTTCTCCCCATCCCACTCCTGCCCTCCTCTCTCTTCTCCCTGCAGGCCAGCCAGCTTGGTGTGTACAAAGCATTTGTGGATAACTATAAAGTTGCTCTGGAGACAGCTGAGAAGTGCAGCCAGTCCAACAACCAGTTCCAGAAGATCTCTGAGGTGGGCAGCACCCTGCACTGCCACCCCTACAACTCAGGGTTTTGAGGGGCTGGTCAGAGCCTTCCCAACTTAGGGCCTCTCCTCTTCTGCTTGCCCGTGAGAAAAATAGTTCTCCTGATGGGTAACAGCCTGACATTTACTTTTTTGCCCTTGACATTTTCCTTCTTAATATAAGAATATCGATTTCTATATGATTTTGTTATTTTGTTTTAGGTTATTCTGTATTAGAAAAGAAAAAAGGCAGCATTCTCCCACACTGGGGTAACCTTAAGCACATCAGTTCCCTTCTCTTGGGCTCAGTTCCTCTGCTGCAGAATGAGGTATCTGGATTGGTCCAGCTTACCCCAAGTCTGCTTGACAAGAACCACCTGCACACTGTTTGAAACGCAGATCTTCAGGCACCTTCCCTGGAGCTTCAATTCAGAAGGTTTGGGGTGGGGCCCAGGAGTCTGTATTTTTTTTTCTTTAAAACAAGCTTGCCCAGGTGATTTTTATAATCAGAGAAGCTTGAAGGAGTCTGGGCTAGGTGATCCTTTAAGATCCTTGAAATCTCACAGAGAGAGGACAAGGGCCCCTTATCTGCAGAAGAAGCTCTAGACCCTCTGGCTGGGAATATGCCTGTCTGTCCCTAGGGGGAGTCCAGCCCCCACTCCATCCTCCTCTACAAGGCAAAGATGTGGCATCATCTGCCATCAACACTTGTGTCCAGGAAGTGTCCTAGAATTCTTCAGGAGCACAGCCCAGCTCACCCCTTGAGCCAAAAAGATCTCAGGGATACCCCCCCACCCTAAGGCACTGGGTTTACAATCAAAGTTCTCAGCTCCAAGCTCAGGGTAAGAGAATGTCTAGTTCCAAGGAGAGGGAGCTCCTTCTGCACTTTTGGAAGTCCTGCTTTATAGGCCTCTCTCGATCCTTTGCTTTCTCTCTCAGCTCCAATGCTAGAAAAGTTGGGGAGATACAGGATAGTTTTGGGGAAGCTACTGGGGTGATAAGGGTTATACCCAAGTTTGGAATCAGTCGAGAGGGAACACACGTGTTGGGCAGATGGAGATGAAAGTGTGAGCTTGATTACCCATCAAAGCTGGATTGGAATAACGTGGATGTGGATCTGTAGCCACACTGGCTTTGCTAACACTTCCTTCCACGTTCAAACACATTTCACGGGGGCAGACAGAGAAGAGCTGAGCTCCGTTTTCGTCTCCCAAACCCAGGGGTCAGGTGAGTCACCCTCTGCCTGGAAGGGTGGAGTGGAACGAAGGGTAGGAAGGTCCCAGTATGTGGAACAGTGAGGCTGGAGAAAGGGTGGTCTCTATCTGTGTTCCAGTGGCCCTGCCATGGCTGCCTGGGTGCCCGGGTCATGTACTGTCCAGAGAATGGGAGAGGGTCTCCTCTTAGCCTGGGCTGACTGCCTGTTCTCTGTTCCTCACCCCTAGCAGCAGAAGCAGAAACCCCCATGCTCATCGCCACGCGCCCCTCAAAGCCAGCCAGCCCCACAAGGGCAGAGCGAGGCCCGTGGCCGGCTGCCAGTGGCTTCTCACCCTGACTCATGCGCAGTCGCAGTCACTTCCTACTTGTGCCGCCACTTCATTACTGCAATCAGGCCCTTCTCTGCAGTGGAGTGATTTTGTACCTCTAGACTGCACTGGAAGCGGGCATGGAGAAAAATTCCCTAAAGCTGGGAATCTAGACACCAGGAACCTTACTTTTCCCCACCCCCATGCCCCAGGCTCATCCCTGGGGGTTTTCTCTGTCTAGAAACAGCTTGAGGCAGGAGTATCAAGTGTAGAGCGCCCGCTGCCTGGGCACTTCCTCCCAGGCAGAGCAGACAGCATCACCTGGTACCTGACCTTGGCCTCACCTCACCCCTGCCTTCCTGCTGGCAGTCCCCTGGGAGCCCCCACGCCATGTGCTCAGTCTTCCAAGGTGGGGATTGCGTTACAACTCCAGTTACAGGTCACACTGGTCCACTGGCAAAGGGCCGGAGCTGGAACCTCTGTCCTGAAGGCAGATGAGAGAGGTTAGGATCAGATAAGCCATCCCTGGTGTCTGTTGCCAGCACCCCCTGTCACTTTGTGTGGCATCCAGAAAGGGTGTTGCTCTTTCCTTCCTGGCAGTCTGTGGGCTCAGATGTCCAGCCCAGGCACAGTAGGCGGGGAGTGCAGCTGGGGCTGGTGGCTGGGTGAGTCCCTCTCGATATGGGTGATGGAGAGGTCGGACTGCTCCGCACCTCTCAGCCCCAGGTGCACCACGTCCCTGCTGCCCCCTATAGAGGCGTGTGGGACCCCATCTCCTCCTCTCCAGGGCTGCTCATGCCCAAAGACCAGCTGCTATGCTGGTGTTTGTCCACTACAACCCTGTGTGCCCTGAGCCGCTGTGCAACAGTGGCTGCTGCTGGGGGTGGGAAAGGCTGGTCCCGTTCTTGCTCATCCTCTGAAGGCCCTCCTAGTCGCTGCGGAGGGGCTTTAGGGGACAGGCCTGAGGAGCAGCGGCCGTGATCACAGTCCTCTCTGGTCCCCAGAACCCCTCCTTTGTGCCTGCATCAGCCACTGGACCCCAGGAGGCTCCAGGGGCTGACGGGTGTGGCCCAGGGGGTCTGGAGTCAGAGAGGCAGAAGTTAGTCTTTGTCGCTTTGCTCCTGTTTGCACCCCTGGGTCTCAGAGCCCTGCTTCCTGCTGTGTTCACCACGGGGAATGGGGAGGCCAGGGGTGGGGCTGGGCCGGGTGGAGTGATCCGCTCCTCTGTTTGGCAGGAACTCAAGGTGAAAGGTCCCAAGGACTCCAGGGACAGCCACACGTCAGTCACTATGGAAGGTACTATGGGGAAGGGGTTGGATTAACAGTCATCTTCCTTTGTCTGGCTTTGTGCCCTGCTTGTAGGTGTGTGCACACGTACTCGCACGCGTGTGTGTGTGTGAGAGTGTGTGTGTGAGTGCGTGCACGCGAGGAGGAATCCAGCCTCTGTCCCCAGGCAGCTGGCCAGCTACAAACGTGCTCCTCCTTAGGATGCCAGCAGGCGCCCCGCTCCCCTCCTCCTCCCCGCTCCACGCGCGCCGCCCTCCCTCCCCTCCCCCTGGCTAGAGGCGCACTCAGAAGCGGCTGCTTGGTTCTGGAGGCTGTGCGGCGGCAGCCGAGAAGGTGGCTGAGTGGCCGGGCCGCTGAGGGGAGCCGGGGAGCCCGGAGCGATGGCCGCACGCTCCCGCCACGGGGACGCAGGCTGCCATGGAAATACTTCTCATCATTCGCTTCTGCTGTAACTGCACCTATGGTAACCCAGGCCCCCTCTCGCGGGAGGTGGGGGTGTCCTCCCACCTCTGGGGGCCAGCTGGAGGGGGCGCAGGCTGGAGGGGGCGGAATCCTGGCCGGCGAGGTTCGGAGCAGGGGGAGGGGCAGCAGGGCAGGGATGGGGAACAAGTGGCTGGACCTGTGTTAACCCCCCGGCCGGCCAGCTTCCAGCCTGGAGTTGAACTCTGGGGGCCGCTCCAGGCAGGAGGGCTTGGAGATGGGAGGACCGGGCTAGGAGGGGCCAGGCTCCACTGAGGATCTGTGGGGGAATTCGTGGCTCAGCTCGAGAGGCTGGGAGCAACTTCCTGGAGAGGCTGTCAAGGAGAAAAAGTGACAAGGCTGCATTGGCAGGGGTGGCCATCCCGGGGCTGGAGAGGGGTCGGCAGGGGCCGATCGGACAGGGCCGGATGGTCAGATGGCAGCGCCTTGGACCCGGAGGGTGCCAGCCCCGGCTGGAGGGAGAAGTTGGGAGTCTCTTTGTTTCGGGCGAGAGGAGAGGAGGGTGAGTGGCCAGGGTATTGTGTGCTCCGAGCACACACGCTGCCTTGGCTCTCTCCTCTGTGAACAGGCGATGGGAGAACGTGGATATGGTTGGGAGCAGGAAGGAATTGGGTTGCCCCCAGTGGGTTCGTTCCTAACCACTGGAGACCCTCGAGCTGAGGTCTTGTCACCTAGTGCAGAAGGTTGGCGGTGAGTGCTGGTGGGAGAAGGGGGCGTGGCAGGTTGCTGCTTTGTGAAGGTCACACCCCCACCGTACAATGGGTGGGGGGCTGGGGGGCAGACAGAGCATCCTCTGCAGCCCCCTCGGGGACAGGGGTCCCGAGACAGGTGTGTGCTGCCACCCAGGTTCTCGCTCAGAGGAGGCTGGCACCAGCCTAGGCGAAGAGGTATCTGGAAGCCAGCAGGCCCCGCCTTCCAGGGCAAGAGGTACCCTCGGGACGACCCAGGCTGCCTTTGGCAGGGGCATAAGGGTCAACTGATGCCCCCGGCCTTCTGCTCTGGGCCCCTGGGGCAGGCGGCTGGTTTCAGGACCGTCTTCCCTCCCACCAGGCAGGCGTTTTGTCTCAGCTCCTTTCAGTCACTTTGCTTTCATGTCTCCGTGGTAACCTGGAGCTCCTTGTCGAAGGCTGAACAGAGGGGGGCGGCAGCTTGCCGGAGGAGCGATGCTGAGGTTTTCCGGGCTCTTCCCTGCGACCTCTGTGCACGATCAGCTGTCCCCTCCCCTTCTTAGATGTCCTGTGTAGAAGACTGCTCATGATGGAGAGAGACTCTGAGGTCGCCCCTCTCTGACTGTCCCAGCAGGACAGCAGGGGGGAGCACTAGTCAGCGGGCAGAGGCTGCCCTGGGCCCCACCCCTCGGCTCAGATCCTGACAGTTTAGACTTGAAGCTGGCCTGGTTGAAGATCGAAGGGGAAATGCCCTTCTCGGTCTGGCCTGGGAGTTGGTCAAGTCTCCACTCTGCCTTTCTGAAGAGGAAACGGTTGGCCCTTTGCTTCCTCTTTCTTCCCCAAAAAGGAAGCTTAGTTTTAGTGAAACAGGCCTGGGACCCGAAGTTCAGGGTTTCTTCCGTCCCTGAGATGAAGTCAGCTTCAAAGTGTGAGGGGTCAGGTGCGAAGGGGCCCTCACTGACCACACTGAGCCGTCTCAGCCCCTCCAAAGTGTGCTGGTCTGAGGTCCCAGGGAGGCTGAGTGACTGAGGGCTCACTCTGAGCTTGCCTCGTAGCTCAGTCGGTAAAGAATCCGCCTGCAATGCAGGAGACCTGGGTTTGATTCCTGTGTCAGGAAGCTCCTCTGGAGAAGGAAATGACAACCCACTCTCCAGTACTCATGCCTGAGAAATCCCATGGACAAAGGAGCCTGGCGGGCTACAATCCGTGGGGTCGTAAGAGTCGGACGGGACCTAGCAACTAAACCACCACCACTGCAGTCGTCTGCCTTAGTGGTTATGTACCGAATGTCCACTCTCCAGGGCTCCATGCCAAACATGGTTGGGGGGGTGGGAGACAAAGGAAGTCTGACTCAGCCCCCTAAGGAGGGGGCTCACCTTGGCAACTAGAGAGGCCAGCTCATCCACTCCTTGATGAATCTTTCCCAGAACCCTCTCAAGGGCCACTGAGCTTCTGCTGATGCTGCCCTCCCCCATGGAGGGGGATGGCTCAAAGTTAAGGAGTACTGGTAGACCTACATTCAAAACCCAGCTGCCCCTTACAGCTTTGTGATTGTGAGCAAGTTACATAAAACTTCTTTGTACTTTGGAGAATTTTCTGCATATGTAAAATAGGACTAGTGATCATTGCTTTCCTTTTTAAAAAAAAATAGTATATTTATTCCTTTATTTATTTATTTGGCTGTGCCAGGTCTTAGTTGTGGCACATAGGATCTTTCATTGCGGTATGTGGGATCTGGTTCCCTTACCAGGGGTTGAACCCCGGGGCCCCATGTATTGGGAGCGTGGAGTCTTAGCCACTGGACCACCAGGACAGTCCCTTTCTTTTTTAATTAAAAGGAAATAGCACATGTAAAACAGTGCCGTTGGACATGGAGTAAAGTACTCAGCAAGCTAGAGAGAGGCCCACTTTGCACAGGTCATGGTTTGTCTTTTAGGCACTGTGAATGTTGGTTGTGAAAGTCCTGATTGGGGAAGGCTTTTAGGAGGAGGGGGAGAGACAGGCATTGCAACTTGGTGAATGGTGTGTGCCCCAGAAATGGGAACCACACATTGAGGAGCAGGGAGAGTGGGGGAAGCAGAGGCAGGGAGCAGTTGTATGGGGTGGTATGTGGGCTGTGCACTCTGCATTCTCAGGGGAAGCAGGTGCGGGGGGCATGGGGAGCATGCCCATCACGGCTGCCCTGGTTCCCTTCGTATCTGACTGCGGCCCCGGGGCCCTGTCCTTGCTCTTGGCTTCTCCCCACCTTCCTCCCAGCTGCCCCTCCCCAACCTGGGGCTGATACATTAGGACTCTTTCCGTGACCACAATCAAGTGGACTCTTGAGGTGACTCGAGGCATATTAATAACCCCTCTGAAACCCAACACGCCATTTGTGCAGACCTCTGAGCTTAGTCAGAAACCTCTTCCTCCTGGGACCCAGCAGAGGGATGGAGGGGGCTGACACTGCAGTATCAACTTTCTCTAGGCGGGAACTCAAGGGCCCACCCTGGCTGGTGTCTGCTGAACTTGCATTTTCTCTGGGTCTCTGGGATTCTCAGAGAGTGATTTCCCCCTGCCCTGCAGATGGGCTGAGCCACAGGTGGGTACTGTAGACCAGGGGTCCCCAACCCCCCAGGATCTCATGCCTGATGATCTGAGGTGGAGCTGATATAATAATAATAAATCAGAGGGCACAATAAATGCAATGCAGTTGAATCACCTTGAAACCATGCCCCTCTTCCTGATCCATGGAAAGATTGTCTTCAGCAAACCGGTCCCTGGTGCCAAAAAGGTTGGGGACCGCTGCCCCAGATAGCCTCAGAATTTGCCCCTCCTGGGCTGGTGACTGATCTGTAACCTCATTGTCCCAGGAGAGGCCAACCTGATCTTGTCCATTCTAGCTCCCATAGCCCTTGGACGGGGAGGGGTTCTAGAAGTTGCTAGATTAAGAAAGGGCTGCAAATAAATCATGGGAGGTGTGTTTCAATGAAGCAGTGGTTTTCAACCCTTATGACATCTCAGAATCCACAAAGGAGCTTTGTAAAAATGCTGATGCCTGGGTTCTGCCCAGCAGAGCCTGCTGTTTAGCTGATGGGAGAGGGAGAAAGAGGCATCTGAATCTTTTGAGAGTTCCCCACTGATTCTAAGGGCAGCCAAGCAAAGCCAGCAGATGAGGCTCAGGGCACACCGCTGAGACTGCATCTTCTCCGTAGCCAGCAGATTGTTTCCCAAAGTGACCATTTAGCAATGCGAAGGGTATTAATATCCAGGGCCTTGGGGAGCTCTTTGGTTTGGGGGCTGGCTGGGACATGAGTGTCAGCCCTGGTACCTGTCACAGCCTGATCCCATGGGACACTCACTCTGGTCCTCCTCCCCAGACCAGCATCCTGCCTCTTACTGCTCCTACAGCAGGGGGACAGAGGTCATGACCCCGTGGGCAAAGGTGTCCAGGTGTAGGACCGGAGCTAATCCACCCAGGCTGGGAGGGGCAGGACGCAGCTGCCCTCAGGAGCTTTGTTCGGAAGTGTTGGTCAGCCAGCTGCCTCCTTCACCTGTTCCCTTGAATCCTGGCGATCCTCATTTGGTGTCCTGGTCGCCAAAGTGTGTGGCCCGTGGTGTGTGTGTGTGTCGGGGGTTCTGCTGAGCTTGCAATTTCCCAGCCTCTTCAGGGGCTCTCTGACTTGAAGCCCCACCTGAATGCCTTTCGGAAATCTTTACCCCATCAGCTGCCACTTGAGAACAGAGCCTTTCTGTGGCCATCAGGCATGCCTCCCTGGTCCTCAGCCAAGAGCGCATTGAGGGCATGATCAGGGGTCCTCCTCGTGGAGATGAGGTCAACTGTGTGGGTCAGAACGAAGCATGATGTTCCCAGCTGGTGGGGCCAGGCCTTGGACCAGAGGGATGTGAGAATGATGGGGTATGGGGACACCTCCCTCCCTGGGAAAACAGTGTCTCCTTCCTGCAGTCTGGGGTCCTGGGTGTGACCTCCACTGTCCCGGAGCTGTTAGGGTAAAGCTGTGTGATTTCAGCAGAGGGTCCAGAGGAGCATCTGTGTCTGCTATGAGCCTGGTCAGGCTGGGACAGGCCTGGGGGACAAATAGCCCTTCAAGAAATCATGTCTAGTGGGAGACAAGATGAGGTGGGTGGGAGGGGGCTGGGGTCACCAGAGCCATGTGTCCGTCTTTTGGTGTTGTCTGGCCTGCCTCGGGTGAGAATGCAGGCGTGGTTGCTGTGGAATCCACTTTGGCCTCCTGTGAGTGGACTTCCATGCAGGGGAGGGAGGCGGCTTGGGGCACAGGCTGGCCCCTCGGGTCTCAAACTGCTCCCTGTCTTTCATCTGACCTGGGCCTGTGCCTGCTTCCCCCACAGCTCTGCTCTACAAGCCCATTGACCGAGTCACCAGGAGCACCCTGGTCCTACACGTGAGTGTCTCCCCGCCGAGTGGCCAGGGAGGACTCAGGAGTGGGTGGGAGATTGAGCCCAGGGTGCAGGAGCACTGGAGTCATGACAACATCCCATGTGGGGAGCTGGGCAGAGGGTCCCTGGGCCCTGACTGCACCTGCCTGGCCTGTGGTGACCATGCTGATGGGCCCAGGGCCTAAAAATAGCTTGGCCACTAGGCTTGACTTTTGGCCAAATGCTCCCTGGGAGGCAGGCACTTCCTGCCTCCTCATTCCTTGCCTGGTCTCCAGTGTCCTTGGAGCAGCTGTAGGGTAAGTGGGGGGTGTCTCTCCCAGCTGCTTGGTGAGAGGAGACTCCACCTGGTCTGCACCACCAGGGAGAAGAATCATGACTGCAGCGGTAATAAAGGAGCACCACTGCCCTGCTGCTCTGACCCTAATTCTTAGTTCAGCGTTTACAGGCATGACCAAGTTAGAGTAAGGGTCCCTAGTTGCCCCCCTTGGAATTCCTTCAGTGAGGATTGAGTTCTCCCCACTGTCTTCTCACTAAGCCCCAGCCCCGCTCCCCCCATCTCACCACCCCATCCTTTCCAGGACCTGCTGAAGCACACACCTGTGGACCACCCAGACTACCCGCTGCTACAGGATGCCCTCCGCATCTCCCAGAACTTCCTGTCCAGCATCAATGAGGACATCGACCCCCGCCGGACTGCAGTCACAACCCCCAAGGGGGAGGTGAGCTCAGGACCCAGTGGGGCTCGGCCCCCAGGGTGAGGAGGGTGCCCGGCACCATTCCTGCTCTCTTGCATACACGGGCACCACTGCCCAGTGCCTGGTGCCTTTCCAACCCTGATCCCCCAGTCCCAGCCAAGGATAGGCCTTCGGGTCCTGAGCCAACAGCTTAAGGTCCAGCATCTCATTAATCTTCATAATAGTCTACGGAGGCAGATGAGGAAACTGGGGCCTGGAGAGTCTCTCTAGGTCTCCTGCACAAGTCTCTTGGCTATCAGTGTCAGAACTGGATCCTTTAGCTCGGGGTCCCTGACCTCTGGGCTGCGGACTGGTACGTCCTATCAGATGAGCAGCAGCATTAGACTAGAAGTAAAGTGCACAGTAAATGTAATGTGCCTGAATCATCCCGAAACCATCCCGCTCACCCTCAGTTTGTGGAAAAATTGTCTTCCATGAAATCAGTCCCTGGTGCCGAAAAGATTAGGGACCGCAGCTATAGCTGGGGTGTTCTGTCAGCAAGCCTCAGGCACTGACCCCCGCACCAGGGCTCCTTCTGTCTCATTCTTGAATGCAGCCACCTCCTCTGGGCAGCCTGATGTCGTCAGGGTCCCCTGGAAGATAATGGCTCAGGCTGAGGGAGCTTGGAGAGTCAGGGAGAAGAGGCTGAAGCTGCCAGGTGACTGAACTGTCCCAGGTGGGCTCCTGTATGTGGCTAGCAGCTCCAGTTCCCTGGGGGCCCTTTTTGCTGGAGGAGTGGGGGGTGCCTCAGTGAGGGGAAGCAATTTGAAGAATCAGAGGGACAGTTAGCCGCTTGGGTCAGCAGCCTGACCCACACATGGAGCTTCCTGTCCAGAAGAGGTAATTAAGTGGCGTTCAGGAGTGAAGGCTGGCTGCCTTTCTGCTCCTCTGTAGTGTTTATGAGGTTCCAGTGTCTCCTCGGGAGGGAAGTAACGAGGGACAGGTTCTGGGGATTGGCTAATGGGACCAGAGCACTGTCCCTGCGTGCAGCTCCCAGCCCCGGTTTGCAGACCCTGGAATGTCACCAGTTGGTTTGACTGGGGATGTCTGAGAGATCTCCAGAGGCCCTCGAGCACAACCAGTTTGGGATCGTTTTAATAGTGTGCTTTCTACGTGCTCACCTACATACGCAGCATATATAGGTCACACAGAGAAGCCTGAGACAGACCGTGACAGCCCCGCAGAGGCCCGCTGGCCCAGGATGGCGGGGAGGAGGCTCTGGAAGTTATATGTGGAGCAAAATGCTCCAAACCAGCCAGAGCCCAGGGTAGAGACAGCTGTAGGATCCCCAGGACACTGCGACAGCCAGAAGCCCAGGGTCCCCCATCCATCCACCTGAGGCGGGTTGCAGAACCCACTCAGAGGCTGTGTAAACGGGCCTGAGTGGTTCTGCAGATCGAAGTTCAGCTGAAACAAGGTCAACATCTTAGGCAGAGTTAGGGAGGCATTTCTAGGGTGGAGGTGGGGGGTATTTATGACTCAGGATGGGTCCTCATCCCTGTTGAGGGCTGCAGAGAAATGGAAAGCTACCACTTGTGGATCATATATTACATGTCAGGCACTATATTGACTGTTGTAGATATACCATGATGTCTATGCTATGGGGGCCAATGTCATTATCCCCATTTTATAGATGCTAAGACTGAGGCTCAGAGAAGTCAGGGAACTTACCCCCAAGATCTCAGCCAGGAAGGGGCAGAGTCTGGATTCAAGCCCGTGTTAGATTAGGTGTTAGGTATGAGCTCAGTCATGTCCGACTCTTTGCAACCCTATGGGCCCACCAGTCTCCTCTGTCCATGGAATTTTCCAGGCAAGAATACTAGGGCTGGTTGCCATTTCCCACTCCAGGGGATCTTCCTGACCCAGGGATCAAACCTGCATCTCTTGCGTCTCCTGCATTGGCAGGTGGATTCTTTACTACTGCGCCACCTGGGAATCCCCAAGCCCGTGTGCCTGACCCCAAAGCCAGTGCTGCTAACCACCGGCACTACGGTCCCTCCCTGGAGCCCCACCCCCACCCCCACACTGGATGGGTGCGGGCTGGGCCCTGGGCTGACTCCCCCTGAGCAGGCGGGGGTGGGTGTGCCATCTCTTTCAGACGCGGCAACTGGTGAAGGACGGCTTCCTGGTGGAAGTGTCGGAGAGCTCCCGGAAGCTGCGGCACGTCTTCCTCTTCACCGACGTCCTCCTGTGCGCCAAGCTAAAGAAGACATCTGCGGGGTGAGTGTGCAGGAGGGTTGGTGGGCGGGGAGAACTAGACCCCGCCCCCCGGTGGAGCCCGTCAGCAGCCCGGGGCCATGTGCATTTCTTTCCCCCTTTTTAAAAACATTAATTAATTTATGTTACTTCATAGCCTTTTTCTAAAAATAAATCATGGTTTTAATTATAAATATAATACAACCAAATTACAGTGGGTGGGAAATAAACCCTGTCACCCACCCGAACATAAGCATCAGTCTCCTGCGGCTATATTTCCTTCCAGTTTTTTTTTAAATGTTCTTATGTTTTTTCATATACTTGTAATCAGAGTGAATACCCAATTTGGGGCTCTGCTTTTTCCATTTCACGTCATAAGCATTTTCCGTGTTGCTGCCTAATCTTCATAATCATCATTTTACTTTCCTGCATGATGTTACAAGTGGATATGCCATAATTTACTTAAGCATTCTCCTTTTATTAGACATCTCTAAATTTTTGCTAACTGCAATTCAGTGAATATTCATTAAATCTGATGCTACCATTTATTGAGTGCTTATGCCATGCCAGGTGCCATGACAAATGCTTTGAATATATTATTTCTAATCTCCCCAGTGGCTTTACAAAGTAGGTATTATTATCCCCATCTCACAGATGAGAGAAAAGGCTTAGAAAAGTGAAATAAGTTGCCCAAGGTCATACAACTAAAGTAGAGGAGGCAGGATTTGAACCTTAATCGGACTTGAAAGCTTCTTTTGAGCTCCATCTCTGTACCCAGTGACTAGAGTGTCTCTGTTACAAGCAGAAAAGATTCTTCAATATGTATTCCTACGATCTTCCATCTTTTATTTTCTTACCACCTACGGTGTGCTGAGGGAGGCAAGCCACAGGCTTAATGTTGCAGGGAGGTAGAAAACGAAGTCCTGGGGAAAGTGAGAGAAGGAGAGGTTATTATGAGTTTCAGTAGAGGGGATGACGTTTGAGATGATTCTAAAGCAGAGGTGACGGTCGTAAGCATAAACTCCTCTGCCTTAAGTCCTTTGCCCACAGCAGACATTACTAGTGGACCACAGCACTATTTCTCGTTGGACTTGGATGTGACTTTATAATCCTCAACTCATTATCCCTCAACTCATTACCCCGTGTGACTTCTATTGAGAAGAGGCGGCATTCAAAATTGCATCTGTATTGTATCTCTAGCTAAGAAGATAAAGAATGTAAGTTATGTTTAGACAGGCTGGAAGGGAAAGAAGAGTTGGATGGGGAATAGGAGAGACCACTCTTGCTCAGACACTAGAGGTTTGGGCTGCTTAAGAATGTCAGTCGTTCTGGGCCAAAAGAATGGCAGGAGCGAGATCCAGAGCCCTTACCGCTGCCTGACCTTAGAGCCTAACTATCGTTATTCCATGAACGTTTCCTGATCAGGCTCCTCAGGGCAGGGATCATTCTTGCCTGTGACGAGTTCTCAGTAAATCCCTCTCAGGTGGTTTTTGGTTCCAGGCCTGAAGATGCAGTTCCTCTGTGGCTCACATCTCCCTCTGACCTGTTTGCAGGAAGCACCAGCAATATGACTGCAAATGGTACATCCCCCTGGCTGACCTAGTGTTTCCATCCCCTGAGGAGTCTGAAGCCAGTCCCCAGGTGCACCCCTTCCCCGACCACGAGCTGGAGGACATGAAAATGAAGATCTCTGCCCTTAAGAGTGAAATCCAGAAGGAGGTGAGCAGAGCCTGGCATCACCTGGGGCTGAGAAGTTGGCTCTTTCCATTGTGGACCTTTGAATTGGGTGTGCCAGGGAAATGGAGAAAGGAGAAGTGATAAAATTTGGGAGTCTGACAAGGGAGGCAGTGTGTAAGAGAGGAAGGCCTTTCTTTACAATCTTCAAGATAACATGTCTGACCATGATGATGAGCACTGGGCAGATAGAGGGCGGCGGGCCAAGGAGTCAGTGCTCAGAATTTAGTGGGGTTAATTATGGGAAGTTTCCTGGGGAACAGTGTATGCCAGACACTGCAAAAGCAAGAGGAGAAAAAGTCCTTCTTCAGGAAAGCAGGATGTATGAGAAGGGTAGGGCCTGGGAGGCTCCTCAGAAATTGACAGATCGAGTAGGCAAATAAGTAAACAGAGGCGGCCTTGAAGATCACTTGGTCTAAAAATGCACAGAAACTTGTATCCTGATAGAGAACTGAGATTCTGTCAAACACACATGGAACATTTACGGATTATTTATCATGTAGTAGGCTGCATTTTGTTGTTGTTCAGTTGCTAAGTTCATGTCCAACTCTTTGTGATCCCATGGGCTGCAGCACAGCTGACTTCCCTGCCCTTCACCGTCTCCCTGAGTTTGCTCAAATTCATGTCCATTGAATCAGTGATGCCATCCTACCATCTCATCCTCTGTTGCCCCCTTCTCCTGCCCTCAGTTTTTCTCAGCACCAGGGTCTTTTCCAATGAGCTGGCTCTTCCATCACATGGCCAAAGTATTGGAGCTTCAGCATCAGTCCTTCCAATGAATATTCAGGGTTGATTTCCTTTCAGATTGACTGGTTTAGTCTCCGTGCAGTCCAAGGGACTCTCACAAGTCTTCTCTGGCACCACAATTCAGAAGTGTCAGTTCTTTGGAATAAGAAATCTCAAGTTTAGGAAAAAAAAAAAAAGGTGTACTGGTCATGTTCACAAACTACAGTGCAGTAAATTAGAAATCAACAACTAGAATATAGTTAAATATATACCTGGGAAGTTAAAACTTTTCAGGTAAAGAGGAAATCAAAAGGGAAACTGCAAATTAGACCTGCATGAAAATGAGAGCACTCCAAATTAAAACCCAGGGGATACAGCCAAAGCACTCATTAGAGGAAAATGTATAGCGTTAAATTCATTATATTTGACAACAGTGGCTAGAGGAAAACACCCCAGAAGGAGGCTTCCCCAAGGAAGGGAAAGAGGAGCATGGAGGGGCTTGGTTAGTTGGCCGGATCTCTCCTCTTCACCCATCCAGGCTTGGCTTGGGCCTGACCTCCCCAGATGAGCCTTCCCCATTGTCTCTCCACTGTTGGGTGTCTCGGTTGGGTGCCTGGCTTCCTGGTTCAGGATGTTTACCTCTTTGATTGGCTTTATTTGTGCTGAGTTATTATTGCACACTCTGCTTTCTCTCTTCCCCACTAGAATTTCAGCTCCAGGGAGGGGACTGCTTTCTTCAGTTCTGTGTCTTAATGCTCAGTTGCTAGCCTGCCAGGCTCCTCTGTCCATGGGACTCTCCAGGCAAAAATACTGGAGTGGGTTGCCATTTCCTGCTCCAGGGGATCTTCCAGACCCAGGAATCGAACCGATGTCTCTTGGATCTCCTGCATTGGCAGGCACATGCTTTATCACTGTGCCACCTGGGAAGCCCCCATGTCCTACTACTTAACATGTAATAAATAGATGCTTTATGAACAGTTGAAAGACACATGACCAGATGGCTTCTAAGGATTCTTTCAACCCAGATATCTTTCTCTGAACAGAGGAGAAGAAAACCACAGTAATAACCCAGGGATGTTTGGGTCATGGGAGTGTCCTACCCTTGTGGCTTAGCTGGTAAAGAATCCGCCTGCAATGCGGGAGACCTGGGTTCGATCCCTGGGTTGGGAAGATTCCCTGGAGAAGGGAAAGGCTACCTGCTCCAGTATCCTGGCCTGGAGAATTCCATGGACAGTATAGTCTATAGGGTCTCAAAGAGTCAGACACGACTGAGCAGCTTTCACTTTCACACAGTATCCTAGGACTGGGGTACACCTGCCCAGAGGGAGCCCCCTGACCAGCACAGGTGTCCTCGTCCTAAACAGCCAGCCCACCCTGCCTCAGGGGAGCCTGCTTCCCCGTTTGGGTCTGTCAGCATCTGCACATCAGGGGCATCCCGCATGCGCGTCTCTCACCAGGCTCTGGGCCTCTGTCCTGCCCCAGGTGTGCAGGCGTGGCCTTCTGCTTCATCGGGTCCGTGCTTACTGACTTCTGCTGGCTGCAGGGCTGTGCCAGATGCTCACAGACCTCCTTATCCAGTGGAGAAGGCACACATTCTTCTGTGTGACTGCAACATGTGGCACAGCGTGATGAGAGTCACTGGAGATGCACGGTGGTGTTTTCTGAGTCACAGGAGCAGCAGCAATTTATTCTTTTAATAATATTTTTAAACCTAATTTTTTTCCCTAATCCCCAGTGTCACACTGACTTCTTATAACAAGAAATACAATACCAAAGTGTGTAGAATAGAACTTCTTACCTTCCCCCCATTATTCCCAGTTTGAGGTATGTTCTTCTAGACTCTCCTGTGTTTACACGTGTGTGTCTGTATTTTTTAATGAGATTAGACTACATGTGCCGTTTTGCAGTTTCATCTGTCAGGTCCCCTTTCACAACTGCATCCTGTTGTCACTCGACGGCACAATATATTTGGGTCTTTAGATGGTTTCTCATTCTTTCCTCTGCCCTTCTGTTTCTTTCCGGTAGATCCCCTGCAAGTGGGATGTCTGGGGCAGAGGGCTTGCGCATTTCATCGCCGGGTTTACGTCTGAAAAGTTTGCATCCGATCATGTTCCCTCCAGCAGTGTGTCATCATCTCTGTTCCCCCACAGTGTCACAGCACCGGCTGTGAGCAATTGTCACAATTCTGCCAGTCTAGTGGGTAAAAAAAAAAAAGCAGAGATGAATCCTCGCTGTAGGAGCTTGAGGATGGCATTGGAACTGAGATGTGAAGCATAACAGTGGTGCATAAAAGGGAAGGGAGCCTTTATACGATACAAACTGGAAAAACTGGAGACAGCTGAGACGGGGAGCAGCTTGTTAGAGAACAGGGAATAATAGTGTGAGCCCGGGGTGGAAGATGCAGGGCACATGTGGCGGGCATGGAAGCTAGAACCCAGCCCTGGGGAGGTCCCCTGGGGCCAGACGTAATGAGGGCTTTATGCTGAAAGGTGTCTGCTGCTTTTAAGCAGGGCGGCTCGGTGGTACCCAGAATTTAATTTATGGACATGACTGAGTAATAGCCCAGAGATGTTGATGCCACTGGAAGATTTTTATTCCTTAGATTTATTTTATTACTTACAGTTTCCAAGAGTAGGGGGCAGGCCACGCCACACAGGGCTAGGTGGGAAAACACCAGGTTCGGTCAAGGGGCAGAAGGAGGGACTTCCCTGGGGGTCCAGTGGTTAAAACTCCATGCTTCCAATGCAGGGGTGCAGGTTCCATCCCTGGTCTGGGAACTAAAATCCCACATGCCATGCTGCGTGGAAAAAAAAAAAAAAGGAAAAAAAAGGCAGAAGGAGCTTGGGAAGTGCATGGCCCAGAGCCTCGATTGTGTTTTCCACAAGAAACAGCTTAGGACTGGCAAATCTGAATAAGTCAGCAGGCTCTGGACTAGAGTGGTGGTATCTAGTTGCCCTGGGTTACTTAGGGCAGAAGAAATACTGGCTTGTGTGTGAAAGTTAGTTAAAGGAGAGGGTCAGAGGTGTGGACTCCAGACTAACTGGTTTGCACATGAAAGATGCATTCACAGGGAAGTCATTTACTAGCCTAGGAATTAGCATGTCCTACAAGGAGCAGTTTTATTTTCTGTGGCTGACTGGCCCTCCCAAGAAAAAAAAAATGATGACTATACAGAGGAATGCTGTATGTAGAACTACTGAGTGTGAGGGAGGCGGGAGGGAGGATCGGGATGGGGAACACATGTAAATCCATGGCTGATTCATGTCAATGTATGGCAAAATCCACTACAATATTGTAAAGTAATTAGCCTCCAACGAATAAAAATAAATGGGGGGAATAAAAAGAACTATGGGGTGACAAGTGGAGTCTGAGTGCAAGGAGAGCCCCCTGTGCCCTCTGTCCCCTGCAGAAAGCCAACAAGGGGCAGAGCCGGGCCATCGAACGCCTGAAGAAGAAGATGTTTGAGAACGAATTCTTGCTGCTGCTCAATTCCCCCACAATCCCATTTCGGATCCACAATCGGAATGGAAAGGTCAGGAAGGATGGGGAGAGGACACACAGCCCCCTTCCTCCAGGGCTGCCCACTCTGTATGGCTCCTGACCCTGAACCGGACCTGCGGAAATCAGGGCTTCAGGTCCCCCCACCCCTCGTTCCCAACAAGGCTGCCATGGCTCCTGCCCTGGACTGCCTCTCTCCCCACTCGTGTAGAGCCAGTGCCCTCTGCTGGTCATCACTGGCACTGCCACTCCCATCACCAGGCTTCCTAGGAGGAAGGCCTTCCTCCCAGCTGCCTTCTGCTCCAAGCCTAGGGGTGCCTGGGTACAAAGGAACTTTATTGGGGGCCCCAGAATCCAAAAATGTCCTGGGCCTGACTGTGGTCACTCTAGTGAATTCTCATCTCCTCTCTTCAGAGCTACCTGTTCCTACTGTCCTCAGACTATGAGAGGTCAGAGTGGAGAGAAGCAATTCAGAAACTGCAGAAGAAAGGTAATGCCCCACCCCTACTCTATGCTGCCCTGCTGGTGTCCATGGCAAGAGAGGGCCTTTTGCATTTGCAAGCACTTTGATGTCCACTGACTCCTCTTTAGCCCTCCTAGTTACTCTGTAAATTGCCAGGGCAGATGGTTCTTAACCAATGCTACTGATCAATTGAGACCCAAAGAATTCAGGTGATTTGCTTAAGAATGTGTAGTGAATTGTCAGTAGGACTGGACCCAGAGCCCACAGTTGCTCCTCTGTCTCTTGCTCTTGCTGTCATGTACATAATTCAGGAACCTCTCCAGTTGGACCCTGCGCTTCTTATCCCTCTGGCAGCACCCCTGACTCTCCCCAGCTGAGTGTCTACTCCCCCTTCCAATGACCAACTCTGCCCTTAGAGCTAAGCTTTTTTTCCTGCAGTAGCCCTCAAAGAAGAGCCGTGGGTCCTAGTGGACCTATGATGACATTCCGCTCTCTCTCGTCTCCTCCTGCAGATCTTCAGGCCTTTGTCCTGAGCTCAGTGGAACTCCAGGTGCTCACCGGATCCTGTTTCAAACTTAGGACTGTACACAACATTCCTGTCACCAGCAATAAAGACGGTAAGATCTGGAATCCAAGGTTGCTCAATCAGCGGGTCCAAGCCCCCGGGGTGTTGCCAGGACCTTCCACAAACACCTAGCCAGTCACTTGGCTACCAGTGGCTGACCTCTGCTCCGCTGGGCTGGGAAGACTCGGTTGCCAGATACAGAAGAGTTTGAACAGATGTTTTTCTCTGCTGAGTCCCTGGATGGCGCCCAACTCCTCCCTGGCGACCTCTAGCTGAAGAGAAGAATCTGGTGTCCTGGTGCACTGGGACTGTGATGTTAATATGTTCACGGAAGCAGAAAGCTTAAGCCTGGGGCAGGGTGGTGGGGGAGCACAAGGTTAGGTGGATTAGAGTAGTGTGTGAGAAATAAGGCTGGACCTGTTCTTTGGCACAGAGTGACTTACGTTGGTTAATTTCCACTTTGGAAGGCTAGACTGAGGAGGGCAGCAGTGGGATAGGCAGGATTCTTAGGAGGGAAAGTGCCCCCGGCGGTTGGGACTTAGTCCCAGGAGGAAGGTGCGGCCAGCCCAAGCCAAGTGGAGGGAGTGCATCCGCTCGCACTCCAGGCAGCAATGGACTGTGGATGCTTCTTCCTCTGGCCACCAGGTGGTGCTGTCGGACCAAGGTGCAGACTGGCTCCCTTCCTTTGTGTAACCAACCAGCCAGGGGTGAGTCGGGGGAGGAAGCAGGCCTCTCATCACCCTCTTCCCTGGGGGGCTTTTCTCTCTTGCAGACGACGAGTCTCCAGGACTCTATGGCTTCCTCCATGTCATCGTGCATTCTGCCAAGGGGTTTAAGCAGTCAGCCAGTAAGTACCCAAGACCACCTGCCCCAGGAAGAGACTTCATTGTTCATCCTTTTACGGAAAGTCCCTGTGGACCCATTGCATGGGGCCTCCCACCTGTTCTGCCTTGGTCTGCCCAGGCTGGGGCCCTGCCAGCTGCTTTGAGGTGTGGGGCATTCCCCCAAAGGCCAGGAGCTAGCTCCTCTTGGCTAGCAGGGGTTCATCCCTGCTTTCTGTCTCCAAGGTCTGCTCTGCCCTAAGCCCTTCCCTACCCCCAGGTATCAAAAATATGGGGCTCCCATCTCACATCCACAGATCACAAGCTGTGTGACCTTAGGAAAATCTCTTAACCTCTCTGAGCCTTCTCTTTTTTTCCTCCAAAAAAAGGCAATCATGCTTGTTAATACTTACCTAAGAGCTGGCTTAAATATGATCTATATGTGCAGGGCCAGCACACTGCTACCACACATTCTTTTTCCTTCTTCATCACTGTCTGCTATGTCCGTGCAGTTCTTAGTATTTTACAAAATACAGTTACATTTTTATCCAACTTTTCTCCCTGAAGGAATTTGTTAGACAGCTAATAGTTTCTTCCCATTTGCCAGATGAGAAAACTGAGTCACAGAGAAAGAAAAGGACTTAATATTATATAGGATCAGAAGCCTGATTCCTCTCACTCCTTTCTCTTCCCCTCTGACTGGTAAGATCTGCCCTCTGCCTTCTTCCTGCAGTGCACCACGCAGGGGGTATGCCAGTGACTCACAATCAGTCATTCAATTAACGTTCTCTGTGACACCTGGATTTCCAAAGCAAATCTGCCTCCCTTCTCTGTGTTCCCATCACCCTGGGGCAGCACCTGTCATACTTTTTTGTCACTTAAGATGTGCTTCCTCCACTGTGAGTTCTTAGAGGACAGGAGCCACGTCTCCTTCATCGCTGAATGAACAGGAGCTCAAAATGCTGAACGAAGTAGTTTATTTCCAGACGCCTATTGTGCGCCCGGGTCCCTTACTAGGTGCTAGAGAAAATACAAACATGTCTCGTGAGCTGACAGTGGTTGGCACATTCAGAGCCTTTTCGGGTGCATTATCTGCTCTGAGCCTCCTGGCACCCTTTCTAGGTCGCTGATGCCATTCCCACTTGGCATGCAAAGAAGCTGAGGCCAGAAAGCTCCAGGGACTTTCCCAGGGCGGCGCAGCAGGGCACAGAGGTGATGGAGTTGAATCCATGCCTTCTGACACCAAGGCCCTCGCTTTCCCCTCTAGAGCAGCATTTCTCTGTGTGGCCAGGACCCCCTCACGCATCACTCAGGCAGTGCTGGTGGAGCAGCACCAGCTTCCTGGATGCCCCAGACCCACAGAATCTGCTGATGGGGCATTGCCTGGGAATACTCCTGGTCAGTCGGCTCTGTGGGGCTGCTGCACACACCAAGTCTGCAGCCCCCTGAGCTGGCCGGGGACCCTCACGTCTCCATGGTGACCAGATGTCTCCCCCTTCCTGTCTCTCTGCCTCCTGTCAGCTGGGATGGGCCTCAGGAGCAGGCCCATTAGAGCAGGGAGTCCCACTCCCCCAGAGCAGGGGTCCGACCTCTCAGACTGGGTTGGGGCGCTCAGACATGGGGTGAGGTACAGCTCCAGAATCTCCCCTCGCCTCCAGCCAGTCCTCACCTCCTCCCTCTGCCAGCCCCCTGACCCGCTCGGACGTTCATTCTGACTCAGGCCTTGTGAATCTTTAGCCATGGCTGCTTGTCCTAGTAAACTCATCACATCCACACAGTCCGGCATGGCCTGCAGGCACCATCGTCTTGCCCGATCTCCAAAGGAGAGCAGTCAGGCACAGAGAGGGGGTGGTTTGCGCAGAGCTAGGATTTGACCCAGACAGGCCGACTCCAAAGCCCTTCCTTTTATCCCAGAACTAGTCCCTGATGGGGGATTCCCTCACAGGGGAACCAGTGAAGGGACACTTCATGCCCATCCATCTCTCGACTGCCCAGACGTGCTCTCTGCTCTGATGGGGGCCCGATAGGCCTTTGGCTTCATTCGCCTGTTCACCGGCGCCCTGCTCAGATACCTGCTGTGCTCAGATACCCGGTTACATCCAGTTTCCATCACACACAGTGAGGGACAGCTCTCCCCAGTCTTAGCTCTGCAGGAGAGTCCTGATGGAGAACAGCCAGCTAGGTAGCTCCTGGGGCCTGGGATGGGCATGTACATCCACCTTCTGACCTCCACCCCCTGCCCCTGATTCACATTGTAGAGGATTGGCTGTGGTTCCCCAAAGTCACCCCCCAGCACACACCATTACCCTGGGAAACAGCCTAGGCAGCGCCCCTGGAGGGGCAGGATGCGGGGCCTGAGGCTGGGCGGGCGTGTGTGGATTTGCAGAGTGCGCATGGGCACTCTGGGGAGACTGATGCGTGATCCCCCATCCCTCCTGGGTTCCCAAGCCCCGGGCCTCACTCGGTGTCTCTGCCTGTCCCCACAGACCTGTACTGTACCCTGGAGGTGGATTCCTTTGGCTACTTTGTCAGCAAAGCCAAAACCAGGGTGTTCCGGGACACAACGGAGCCCAAGTGGGATGAGGTGAGTGCTCCCCGCAGAGACCCCGGGCTCATCCCCCACCATGCCCACCCTGCTCCCAGTGCTCTTGTCCTATTGTCTGGGGATGGCCAAGCCTGCTGATGGGCCAGCCCCGTCCCTCTGACCCCTCTGCCCTCCCCTCCCTGCTCATCTGGCTTCTGATCGTGGGTTTGTGTCTAGACACAGTGTTATAGTTTGGGGTCTCCCATCCAAGTACTAATCAGGCCCGACCCTGCTTAGCTTCTGAGATCAGGTGAGATAAGGTGCGTACAGTTCAGGTTCTATACTTCCGTTCCTCAGTGATTCCCAGGCCTCCGGAGCTCCAGAGAACGGGGAAGCTGCTCCAGACCTCATGACGTGGTCCTCACGGGCCCGCCTCACCCCTCTCACCCTTGTAAAGATGGGGCCCACTCCTGCCGGGAACCCAGGTCAGCTCCTGGCGTTTCAGCATCCTGTCTCGTCTTTCCCCAGGAGTTCGAGATTGAGCTGGAGGGCTCTCAGTCCCTGAGGATCCTGTGCTACGAGAAGTGCTATGACAAGACCAAGGTCAATAAGGACAACAACGAGATTGTGGATAAGATCATGGGCAAAGGGCAGATCCAGGTGAGAGGCAGGCACAGCCAGGGCACCAAAGCGAGTGTGCCTGGGAGGCGGCACCAGTCGGGAAGGTATCCTTCTCCTCTACCTTCTTGGTCAAGGGGATTGGCCTTTGTGACTTGGGTTCACAGCTATCTTGAGCAAAGTTCCCCGAGGTCGTTCCTCTCCCCCTGCTGGAGATGGTGTCCTATTCTTTCCTCACGGGCCCGCCTCACCCCTCTCACCCTTGTAAAGATGGGGCCCACTCCTGCCGGGAACCCAGGTCAGCTCCTGGCGTTTCAGCATCCTGTATCGTCTTTCCCCAGGAGTTCGAGATTGAGCTGGAGGGCTCTCAGTCCCTGAGGATCCTGTGCTATGAGAAGTGCTATGACAAGACCAAGGTCAATAAGGACAACAACGAGATTGTGGATAAGATCATGGGCAAAGGGCAGATCCAGGTGAGAGGCAGGCGCAGCCAGGGCACCAAAGCGAGTGTGCCTGGGAGGCGGCACCAGTCGGGAAGGTGTCCTTCTCCTCTACCTTCTCGGTCGAGGGGATTGGCCTTTGTGACTTGGGTTCACAGCTATCTTGAGCAAAGTTCCCCGAGGTCGTTCCTCTCCCCCTGCTGGAGATGGTGTCCTATTCTAGCCCCAGAGGCCCGTGTGTGTCTGGTTCCTTGGGCTTCCACATCTGGTGCACTTAGGTCATCCACACTCCTGCAGGGTAGCCTGGAAGGATGACAGTGTCTTTGTTTACGCATCCTGTCTGTAGCCTTCTGATGGCTTTTTCCCAGAAATACTGTGTTAAGAAGGATTCTGAGGTATCGTGAATGCTGTGTTGGATTAGCACTGTCTGCCATGGAAGGAGTGAGACCCCAAGCATGTGCCGCTTTACTGGAAGGGCTGAGGATATAGCTGGGCTGCTAGGGGCTGGCCTCTGACTCCACTGCGAGGTTTGCTGGGCTTGACTCGTCTGTGCCAGGAGTTTGTTGGCTTAGGGTGGGTCTTGCGGTCCAAGCAGGGGCAGGTCCTGAGTCCACATAAGGTGTGTATGCGCCGCCCCAGCTGTGTTTCTTTACGTTATAAATGTATGTAGGGAAAGGGGCTTTGTTTGCAGCCTGTGTTTTTGGAAATTCTGCCAGTGTTAAAGATGGTTGCTGTTCACTTAACCTGTAAAGGGGATGTAGGCTTGGAGGCGTGACATTTGGTGCGGAGCCATCCACGTTCCATCTGGCACCTTGTGTGGCCTTGTGCTTATCACACAAGTGGCCTGGCTTGGGTGTGGATTCTTTGACCCTGCACTCAAGGGAATCAGTAACTGACATGCCCTGGGATTGAGCTGTGGGCATTGGGTGCTCTGGGCTTCTTAGCAGCTGTACCAGGTATCACCTGGGTGCGGGGAGCTGAAGCTGAATGATGCTTTTTCCCAGGAAGCGTTTGTTCTCTGGTTCGCTGTTGAGGCCACAGAGTTTGGTGTCTGACTCTTGGCTGGGTGTCTTCAGTGGCAGTGTCCTTGGGGACTTGTGTGCTCCCCGACCCTGTCTCAGGCGCCTGTGTTTGAACGAGGAAGATGACGCTATTCTGTGGGGGCCCAGCCATCCGACTCATGACACCCCATGTTCCTGAACATATCTCTTCTTAATGCTGGGGGCCTGCACCTCACTCTTCAGCACCGTCGCCAGGGAGATGGTGCTGCCAGGCAACCAGCAGCCAGTCCTTCATTATTTAGGGAACAGGAGCTGATGGGAGCGAGCTCTAGATTTAGTCCCGGGAAGCGACTTCCTGCAGAATAAGGACTGGGAGCCCCATGTCCACGTCCCTGGGCTGCCCATCTGGCCCCAGGAGGTGCCCAGCCAAAAAGCATGACAGGTGCCCACACACTCCGGGCCATTAGTGGCTATGGAATGGAAGGGTTAAAACGGTGTTCTGAGCAGCCAGCTCAGGGAGCACCATGGACGCTGACCTCCAGGGCTCCGCAAACCCCGATTCCAGGGCTTGATGGCATCGTCCCCACCTGGACTCGCAGTCCTGTTGCTTCCCTCCTTCTCACTGCTATCAGCTGCATGGGCCCCAGGGGAAACACACCATAAATCATTACATCTTGGAGACAGGAGCAGATGGAGGTTGTGGGGGAAGGGGAAGAAGCCAGGTTATGTTTGGCAAAGCCGAGAGCGCAGTCTGGTAAGGAAAATGTTTCTGTGTTTAAGCTTCGAGGAATGTTAAACGCCTGGGAGTTGATATTAAAAGAAACACAAACCTTCCTGCTGCCAGCTGACCTGGGTCTGTGAGCGGCCAGTTCAGAGCCAGCGTCCTCTGGAGGGCTTTGAAGTTGCCCAGCCCTCAGCCCCCTGAGGCCCAGCCCTTGGTCTTCAGCCATGGAGCCGTCTTGCCCGCCTCCCTCCTGTGGATGGGGTGCGGGTGGCGGGGGTGGTCTGTCCCCACCAGGAGTGCGCTGTGCCATGTGAAGTCCACTCACCCTTCTGAGGATGCCCGGGCTGGGTTGGAGAGGCTACACCGAGCCATTTCCACGTGGCCAGGCCCCACGGAGCCATGGAATGGTCTGTTCCCACAGCTCGCCCCCACCTCCCTTCCCCCCGGGTGTCCAAGGAAGGGAGTTGGCACTGGCCTCTGGCACCCGGTTCCGTGCCCCTTCAGCGGGCGCCGAGGATGGCACTAAAGGTGGCCTCACAGTAGGCGCCGAGGCCTCGGGGACATTCAGGTGGCCTGAAGGAAGGGCAGGTGGAGAAGGCCCACCCCCTGTGGCCCCCACTTCTTTCTGAGGCCCTCCTCGCTCAGCCCATCCAGGAAACAGCCGGAGACCCCAGGCCCTTCCTCCCAAATAAGCCTCCCTCTCTGGTCGGCGGTGGGGGCAGGGACTCCAGAGCGGCAGGCTGGGGGTGAGGAAGGGCGGCATGTGGTGATGGACGAACGGCAGCTCTGATCACCAGCCTGTGTGTCCAGCGTTTGCACTCCTGGAGGCTTGTTCCCAAATGTTCCCATGTGGTCCTTGCAACAGCTCTTCCAGGAAAAGGACAGTCACATCCGCCCCGTTTATAGACAAGGACAGTGCGGCCCTGGCGTCTCCACTGACAGTGCAGAAAAGGCCCTCCTCTCTCCTCTACGCTGTGTCCCCGTGGGCCAGGCCTTCATCACAGCGTCCCCCAGCCTGGGTGAAGGGCACTGCGTGGCTCATGGCCTGGAGAAGGAGCCGGGCTGACTTCCCCTCCCCACATCCTGCTGTGTGGCCTGTTGTGTGTGCTCAGTCATTGAGTCGTGTCTGACTCTCTGCGACCCCGTGGACTGTAGCCCGCCAGGCTCCTCTGTCCATGGGATTTTCCAGGCAAGAATACTGGAGTGGGTAGCCATTCCCTTCTCCAGGGGATCGTTCCGACCCAAGGATCGGACTCATGTCTCTTGTGTCTCCTGCATTGGCAAGCGGGTTCTTTACCACTGCACCACCTAGGAAGCCTGCTCTATGGCATACGGTGAACAAAGGGCTTCCTTTATCTGGAGTCCTCTTACCTCCCTGCAAGGGACATTTATTTCTGCCTGGTGTACCTGGAAGGAAGCAGAATGAGTGTTCATGGAAAAGAGCCGGGGAGGGGACTTCCTCTGCTTCTGCTGCGTGCCTGGTACTGACTGGCTGCTCTGAGGTGTAGGGGCCCAGCCTCAAGGGATCTACTGCCAGATTTGAAAGACAAGCATATCACTATATGCCACACCGCTCGGCCACAAAGCAAGATGCCAATGACGATGATGGGGAGGGTGATGATGTTGATGATGGGGGGGCTTGGGAATGAGAGCCCTCCCATCAGAGAGCTCTCAACATCAGAGAGCTTTCTCTGACCCCCACACTGTGCTAATACAGCGGTTACCCCAGGGGACCTTCACAGCATCCTACAGGGTAGGAAAGTTAATCACAGTTTCATTTTCTTTGCTTTCCTTTTTGGCTGCACTGGGTCTTTGTTGCAGTCTTCGGGCTTGTCTACTTGTAGCCTGTGGGATCTAGTTCCCCGACCAGGGGTTGAACCTGTGTCCCCTGCGTTGGGAGCTCAGAGTCCTATCCACTGGACCACCAGGGAAGTCCCCTTCACAATTTTAAAGTTGAGAAAGCTGAGGCACAAAAAGGTTAAGGAACCTGCCGAAGGCCAGGCAGCTAAGTAGGAGAGTCGGAACTCTCCAGGGCCCCTGCCTGGCCCTCTCCAGGGCTCTCTGTTCCCCAACTGTTCCCTGTGTAATAAGACACAAACTTGTGCCCCAGGAATTCACACAAGGAGAGATCCTGGTGGGCAAGAGTTAGGGAGGCTTCCAGGAGGAGGTGGAGTGAGAGAGGTGTGAGAGCTTTGAGAGCTGGGTTTTTTTCATTCCCAAAGCTGTGTTTATATTAAAAATAAAATTGCAATTATAATAATGAGCCTTGAAGCAAGCACAATCACAAACCATCCTAACTCCCACTCCTCTGAAACAGCCATTTTATTTTCTGCCTTTTCCCTTCCTTGGGATACAGATTTTTATATGGTTTTAATGATAAGTGCATATTTTGTCTTGTTTTTTCTGTTTTCACATAACATTATCATAAACCTCCTTTTTTTCCAGGACTGAAGGTAGTCTTTATAATTGCCTTGTTTTTGGGTTACACTGTCAAAAGTATTTTATAAAAATCATTTTACATAATGACCAGCCCATTAATTGGCATTTTAAGGCTCTGTTATTCTAGCAAGGTGGGCAGGCTCTGGATCAGCAAAAAGGAGTGGGGATTCTGGGGGAAGGGCCCACGTGGCCCAGAGCAGGGAGGCAGGAATGCACAGGGAGTGTGCCAGGAAATTAAGGAGCGCGCCTGCCCTGCACTGAAGTTATGGTGAGCAGTGCCAGTAAGAGGGAGGTTGAAGGAATGAATAAAAGAGGAGGGATTCATAGAGTTTGTGTCAGAAGGAATCCTGGAGGGTGTTTTTTCAATCCTGTTTTGTGGGGAGTAAGAAATTGAGACCAGAGAGGGTGAGTGATAGCCACAGTCACACAGCTCGTTAGTGCTTGAGCAGGGGCCCCAGATTTGGGATCCTGGTCCCAGCTCAGTCTTGCTCGGTCAGCTGCTGGCCAAATGAGGGAAATGAAAATGTTCCTGGATGGGGCAGCGGCAGACTGCGATGTCAGCCCATGACTCTCAGGGGTCTGCCCTTTGTCACTGCAACTTTGGTAGGAGATCCCCCCCCAGCCTGGAGCGTTTCTGAGCCCTCCCTTCCTTCCCCAGACCTCCTCCTTGCTGCCCCATCCCCACCCAGCCCAGGAACCCCTCAGCCGGGAGGCCCCCCCTTCGTCCGCCTTGGCTCCCCGGCCCCAGGAGACTCCTGCGTGTTTATCCCCGTCTATTTCCAGCCCTGCTGCTCCGGCTCCAGATGTGCTGTCTCAACTAGGACCTGCTCACTGGCCCATGAGCTTATTCCCAGGATCCAGCCCTTGTT